CTAAATTAAAGGTGGGATTATAATCTCAACCACAAAATATTTCGTATCCTAGCAAGATGAATCTTGTGGTTTTCCAAAACATGGCAATGCGATTTGACAACACAACACAAACAAATAAATGCCATCACTATTAACGTCTTACTCATGCGTCTTAACATCAGCAAAGAACTCATTTCCTTTCCCTCTTACGTTTATTCTTATTGTAAAATGTATTAGGCTACAGTAAATAAAGGTCATGATTCCTATCCAACCTCCCAACACCAAATATGGTGGTTAAGTTAAGCAATTTGGAGGCAGCATCTACTCACTTATAACTATGTAATTAGTTGTATGTCTTACATTTTATCTTAGACTTTTTTTATAGTGGTGATGTCCAATCATACCTCGACCATTCCGCAAGGTACTTGCTATCTCTAACGGATAACTGTGCTACCAATGCAAGCAGATGGAACGAAATCATCAAGCATTCTTTGCTTTGCTAGGATTTGAACCCTAGTATACGGTGGTTTTCATCCCACTTCATCGACCACTAGAACATACTTTTATGTGCTTAAAAGTTATATTTGACTTGAGTATAATCTATACAGTTTGTTTTATTGTGGAGTTTGGACCAACTTGTGAGCACCTCGACTATAATCTATGCAAATTATAAAGGATTACCAATAGTGTTTACGTGTAACTCAATTGGTCAATCATAGAGCCTCTAATAACTTTTCTTTTTAAAAGTGCAATTTAAGGGATCTTCTACAGAAGTACAGAACAGTGGTTATATCCTTCTAATTCCAGTTTTGATCCTTATCCCTACTTCTTATATTTTTGTTATTTCAAATGCATTTTTTCGACTCATCAAAGCTAAACCAAACATCATTAATGCGCCCAACCCCAGTGAGTGGTTAGCAAGCCGATTATTAATCACTTAAATGAGTTACTTCTCACGGCTGTTACTTGATTAAAAAAAAATTGATAAGGTTGTGACTTAATAAAACAAGACCAAAGGATTGTAAGTTCACCAACAACCTCCAGATTTGCATTTAGTTTCATTGGAAAAACCAACTCAAGTATCATATTTACTCTCTCAGAGTCTCAGCCTACTACCGAGGATACATACATATTTAGAGAAAAACACTTTCTCAAATTCTCTCCTTCCCTAACCTGTATCAAGTAGCTCCCCCCCCCCCCCCTCTCCATGTTTATATAGAAACCCTCAAATTTAACCATTCTGCTCTCCTGAAAATATCAAGAAGTCTATGCACCTAGAGGTGTGAATCTCTTCATAATAAACTAAAAACTTCCCAAGCAAGAGCATCTTTGATGTTTTTTAAAATTTATGGCATATCAAAAGGAAGTTATATCAAAAAACTTTTGAGCCTCTTCAACCTAAACCTGATCAACTACTATCTTGCAAGACCCATATACGCCTTCTCTAACTCACCATAATCATACGTATGTACAGGGAAGCTAAGAGAAAACCATTCCACCATACAAAGGGGCACGAGCCTTGTGCCCTTTTTGTTTAATGAAGTAGGTGTTATCATTAAAAAGGCATCAAGAAGATGCATAAGGGAACAGAGGTTACAAAGAGAGATGACTGTTAACTCTGTTAATACAAAAAAAAAAAAAAAAAAAAAAAAAAGCTATGCTAGGATCAAAGAGCTAACAAAGTCCAAAAAATAAAGCCTTGTGCCTTTACTGTCACTTCAAATCCATGTTCTAGTTCAATCAACCAAGTACTACCATTTTGCTCCAAATCCTGGATACAGATCTAAAAGGAATCACTAGTTCCAGAAGGAAAACAGAGAGATGCTGGACAAGACACAATTCTTTCCATCTTCTACGACTCTCCACTTCACTGTGCAACAGAAACTAGTATTATGATTTCCTTTGAAGTTACTGATCTGGAAGACCAAAGACCTGTAAAACCTGTGGCAGTAAAGTGCATTGCAAGTAGGTTGCACTCTTGACGTTTCCTTAGCATTCACAAGTAAAAAATGAACTTGCAAAAATACTAAGGAGAACCATGCAACTCACAAGTGAAGCTTCAACATTCACATATTCCCTCTTCACTAAAATGCATAACCTTAAAAGATTCAAGTAGATGCCATTTAAAGTTATTGTTCTTCTTTTTTTTTTTTAAAAAAAAGTTGTAGTTCCCTTAACGTCCACATACAACATATTAAATTGCAAATGTATTAAGGAGACAAAGACACATGAGTTGCAGGACAACCATGCAGCTCATAGGATGAAGCCTCCTCACATGCTAACTTTTCCCTCTTCACTAATATGTAAAACTTCAAAAAAACCAAACCGATGCATACTATCTAAAGTTGTTCTCTTAATGTTCCCGCACAACAAAAGAAGCTGCATATGTTTAAGGACAACGTCATTCTAGGTTCATTTCGCAACATCACATGAGCAGAAGGATAACGATGCAACTCTTAAGATGAAGCTCATCTCTCCATTTTCCAACTTGACTAAAATGAATAACCTCGAGAGATCCAAATTGATGCTTATCATTAAAAGTTAGCCATATTCTCATTCGCTCAAAACGCACAAGAAGGCTATCCCAAAATCACCCATCTATCCACCTCTTTCATTTTAAACAATGCCCAATATTAGAAAGGAATACTTAAGGAATTAACTAATAAGTTTGGCTCCATACTTAAGCAATCAACTACTAACTTTGGCTCCCAAAGATTTTTGACACAAAATATGTTTCAACATGAAATATTAGTACTAAACAAGTGGCCATTGACAACTTGCACCTCATAGTTCAAAAGACCTATGATCAAGATAAGTTTAGTTCAGGCTCATCTAGTTGTCACACTCTTCTTTCAGGATACGGGTAGTCTCGGAGCTAGCCTGCGTGCTTCTTGACTATTCTACCAAGTACATGCATCCTCTATCCAGCACAAGTACGGTAACACTTATTTCCTCTATCTTTTTGCTTTCCGGATATGGAAGTGCGGAGTAGGTACCAGCACAACAACAAAGGTCTTAATAATCCGAATATAACATCGATTCTAATCATCGAAGATATCATTATTATGTTTTGTATTTCTTCATATACAATAATGTGAAGCACGAACCTTAACGAGTACTATAATTGTTGAATTTACACAAACTGTTATACATAACCCACGCAAACAACATGAATACCAAGCTTAAACAAAATATCGGAACAAATGCAAGTATAAAACTTTCAGGGGGGTTTTCATCAAATGCTAAAAGATAGAAGGACTCACATGCAAAAATCACTTGGCAACCATCCTAGCAATGAAATCCTCATACCGGATCTTCCCATCGGATCCAACATCAACTTCTCGGATCCACTCATCAAATTCCGCAGGCTCAAGCTTCTCCCCAATACTCGTTAAAATATGCTTTAGATCCGAAACGACGACGAAACCAGTGCCGTCTTTATCAAGGACCTTGAACGCATCGCGCAATTGGCGATCAAATGGCTCCGGTTTTAGGTGTTTTGACATGAGGTCTAAAAATCTGTTGAAATCGAACGGCGCGGTGAGTTTTTCCTCGGCGATTATTGATTTAAGTTGGGCTTGGGTCGGGTTACCACCGAGTGATCTCATGAGGATCCCTAGCTCCGATGGAGCGATTTTGCCGTCGCCGTCGGTGTCAAAGAGAGTGAATGCCTCCTTCATGGAGGATATTTGATCGTTGCTCAGATCTTTCACCATTGCAATTCGCCTTCTCTCTCTCCTCTTGTATTTCTCTTCCTCTATTGAGATTTTGTCTGACGAAATGGGAATTCAAATTTGTGGTTATATAAAACTTGAGGGGCGTTTCACTCATTTTTGAAAGTTATATAAAATAATTCCGAGGACTAGCAGTAACCGAAATAGGAGGGTATAGCCAGTTTTCGGACTGGTCATTCAAAAATAACCAGCATTTACCAAGTCGATAAAAAATAGCCACTATTTTGCTGCAGCAGAGACCGGTCCAGCATAATATACTGGAGTTCGGTGCACCTGTGTATGAACTCCAGCATATTCTGCTGAACCAGTATACTTGGCTGGCTCCAGTATAATATACTGGAGACTGGAGCACCGGTGCTCCAAACTTCAGTATATTATGCTGGACCGGTATACTTGCTGGAACTTCGGTATATTATGCTGGAGTTCTAGTGTACTTATGCTGGAACTCCGTCATATTATGCTGGAGTTCCAGCATACTTATCTTGGAACTCCAGTATAATATGCTGGAGTTCAAGTATACTTATGCTGGAACTCCAGCATAATATGCTGGCGTACTTTTCGGGTTTTGAACAGTGTTTTCGCTCAGATTTATCTTTACTGAAAAGTGGCTAAATATCGATTACTTTTGAAACTGGGCTATTTTTGAACGACCAGTTGTAAATCTGACTATTTTTGAATTTCACCCATAAAAATATTAGTATGATATTGGTTTGTTTATTTTCACGTTCATGCATTTTACGAAATTGGAGAATGTCCTTTTATTCAAGCTGTGGGAAATGCTTCTTTTTGACGGATCAAGATCTTGAGGGTGTTTGGATTGGCTTATTTTAAGTGCTTATTGGCTTTTAAACGCTTTTTTAGTTTATGTGGTATTTGGCAATGATAAAAAATGCTTAAAAGCACCTACTTTTAGGCATATAAAGTACAAAAATAAGCCAAAAGCCAAAAGTTGGGTATTACCAACTTATGGCTTTTGGCTTTTAACTTATAAGCTACTTTTTATAAGTGAATCTAAATACCCTCCTTCTCATGAAATTAAAGATATTATATCAATACTAAAAATATTAAAATCTTGAAAACAAAATGCAAAAGCCAAAGCATTGAATCTTGTAAATAAATGTGAATTCGTGCACAAAATATAGACAGTAGGTGGAAGGAAAATAAAACATTTTCCCTGGAAGCGAAATGCAAAGTCAAAACATTTGCATGATATAGAACAGCCATTTTAGAGAAACTTCCATCGTAGAAAGGGCAACAAGCACTTGTAACTAAATGAGCTTTCTTAGAGGTTAAAAGCCATAGTTAGGTTTTCAATTCCAACAAAGGTTGAATAACAGCAGTATTGGAGTCCATCTGCTTGCACTACTTATTATCAAAATTCAGTCAATGTTTGTATCTACAAAGAAAAAGCCAATAGAATTGAATTGACTTCTCAAGCATACCAACAGACTAATGACTGCTCTACATATACTGAAAGCTTTTAATTAACAATCAATTTCGTCTAAAGTTGGCATCAAACTTGTATGACACTTCTACAAATATGTTCTCTGAAGGACAAATGTAAGCCTCCTCTCCTCAAAGCTATACTCTATCTTCTCCTCCACAGGAATCTTTTCAGCTAGCTTCGAATCATACGGTAGAACAACAGCTGGACCAGGTGTTGCTGTCTGCATCGGAACAGAAACAGTTGATGGAGTAGAAGGCACAGGAATTGGCATTGCTCTAGCAGGAGTTCTGTTCTCTTCTTCAACAGTAGAAATTGTCTTTACAGGAGTGGAGAACGGTGTAGTATGGTTACTTAGCAGGGTTTTCACCACCGTCTCATTCTGTTTTCTGTTCACATCTCCCAATATATTTGTTGCATTGGTCTTCGGAGAATCTGTGGTAGAAATGGGTGAGAAAGGCTTCCGCATCATTGTTGTGTCTACTTCTGAACCATTCAATGCACTGATGGGGTGCTTTTTTGAAGGAAGTTCATCAATACCCAAACCTCCTCTTCTCCCTAAGCAAAGAAGCATAACCAAATTAAATTGATAAAGGGTCAGTACACCAATAATTCTTTAATAAGATATAAGAAAGCTAATTAGAATTCACAAACAACGTATGATTACCTGCTGATCTTTCTGCAAATCCATCATCCTTAGGATGATTAAATTGGTCAAGCTGATGAAAGAGCTCAGACTTCTTTGCTTGACGTGAGTTTGGGGTAGCTTTAGTGGAATGTGGGAGTTCGGTTTTACAAGTTTGCTGTATTGTTCCTCCAAGCGAAAGCCTTCTATTGCTTGGAGTACCACCACATGACAATTTAGGACCTTTTTTGGCACTTTGATTCTTCATAGGGCTGGGTTTAGAGCCATAGCGAGCCTCTTGTTCTGCCATTAACTGTCCCTGAAGTTTCTTCTGGTCCTGAGATAAGATGAATCACGTGCAGGTTATAGCTTTCTATGATAGCACAGATTTAAAGTCAACATAAATCCAGTTGAGAGTTCATACCCTCTGCCTCTTACGTTCTAGCTCCTTTTCTTCCCGCAAGATGATATACTCTTCAAGCATAGAGAGAACACGAATCTAACAAAAAGAAACAAACAATTTCGGAAGATTTACATGTATGAAACCTTAGACCTGAATATTTTCATATCTTAAAGTGCAAGCTGGGGAATGCATACACCATCATAAGTGAATATAGTTCCTCTTTCATTCTCCCATGCTTTTGTTTTTGATGCCAATGCCTCCACCATTGCTGTTGAACAACATTTTAATGGATTTGATCGTTATTAACATTGTTTGACAACGAGAAGGTCATCTTTCACCACTGAGATATTGTCATCTAACCTTGTTGTGAAACAAATAAGCATTAACAAGGACAAGGTATGTAAGAAGAACCTGGAATCTTATTAACCAAGGCACGAGCTTTCTCAGCACGCTTCAGAGTAAGGTGGGTGCCTCGTCCAGCATTGTAGCGGTTTTCATCCTAGACAAGAAATCAAGATAATGAATAAGCATATAAGACATACTTCATGGAACATGTCAATGCTAGTTGAAAGCAAAATCAACCCTGTTATACTCCTCAAGCCAACACTCCTCCTCACATGCAGCAATCCATTTCTCGACTTTGTCTAGAATGTCTTTTCTGCTAAAAGCTTCCTCTTTAGCTTGAGCTATTTGGAGCTCAATTTGCTCAAGGACAGAAGCAGCATTGACAGCTCCTTTTCAGAGATATGAACAAAGAAGAGCATAAAAATTAATCTCATAACAAGGACATAGTAAACAATTGGGTTTCTTTTTTATACTTGAGCACAACTTAAATACCAGATTCAATAGCCTCAATGGCTATACTCATTGCGCTGTCTGAATCAGCAACAATATGTGTTTTCCTATAGATCTCCTCTAGTTCTGACCTCTTCTTCAAAACAAGCTCCTTCAATTTGCTTGCTTTCAGTTCTTCCAAACGGGACACTTCTCCCTCAACCTTGATAGTTAAGGGGACATTATTATCAGGCCCGAAGTACAATTTCAAAGTCAAGCAGAAGAAGCACCAGCAGCATTGGAAACTAACAGTTACAATAATTTCAAAGATTCTATAACTTACATGAGCAATGAATTCCACAGACAACATGTCAGGCTCTGTTATCTCATGCTCTTTGGCAGCTATCTTACAAGTAACATTCTGAAATATCTTTTGTTCTTCAATGGGTGTATCCATCAAATTCCATAGTTCCAACATGGATGTAGTAAGATCTTGTAGCTGCAAAAACCAGAAGGTCATCAATGTCTACAGAGTGAAACAAAATGGCAAGCAACACAAGAATAATTTACTCATCTGCATACCTGCTGCATCCTTTGTAACTTAACTTCTTGTAGTCTTTGTATTGCAGCTGCTAAATTTTGTATGGTATCATTACTAATGTTCTTAATTTCTTCTGATTCGCCTAGACTTGGATCCACCTCACTTATAGTATGTTTGAAATCCATGCCAAGAACCGAGCATAGTGAGTTCAAAGTACCTAGGTGATCCAGAACCTGCTTCAAGCGTTCACTCTGCCAAAAAAGAGTAATAGTTTAAGCCAAAGGGCAGGGACAGAGAACAATTGGCCTTGGTGCTGTAGAGCAGCTGTTAACCTTTTCTTTTTGAAGTGAATGCAGTTCTGTATGCAATTCTTCGAGCTTTCGTAATGATAAATCACTTTCATCCACAACCATGCTTGTAGAAGTAAACCTAAAGATTTCATTCTTAATCTTATGTATCTGCTCCGCAACTTCAATGAATTGATTCTTTCTGTCAGATTTCCTCTTCTGCATCTCCTCTAGTGCTGGAACAATGGCTCTAAGTTCCATCTTCAAACCTCCTTTGTTCTGATCAGACTGAATAAAAGAGATTCATTATAAAATCTCCATACCTGATCTTGTGAAAGGAGGAAAAAAACATGTAAACCTTACTCTAAATCAATATATAGGGTATCCATTTTACAAATTTTTTCCCTAGAATATAAGAGGAGCCTGGAGGCTGCGCTTCATCTTAGTACTGTTGCAAGAATAAAACGAACCTGCACTAGCTTGGTATAATTTAATTTGGTATTTACAAATCAGGCAACTGCGATATGGCCATTTCATACAACAAGCCCACATATTGAAACTGTAAAGGTAATTAATTGGCTATGCCATTCCTAACCTGCTTAATGTGCACGGGGCGCTCCCCCATAGCAGAACAGATAGCTGCAAGCTCCGCTTCTGAATCAGCAATAGCCTGCCTTAGCTGAGCCCTGCTCCTGTTAGCTTGATCTACTTTTCTTCTATACACTTCCAAGCATTCTCGTTCAATCTCAAATAGCATTTTGTCCCTCTCAGTATCACACTCCCCAACTTCATCCCATATAATCTTTTAAAAAAAAGATGGAAAAAGGAGCAAGAACTTCCATCACGAAATGATCAAGAAGATAATAAATATGTAAAGAGTAAATAAATTACGAATATGTTAGTAGGCAATATATCCATAAAAATACTACCTGCAGTTCATGCAGCAACAACCCACATGTTGTTTCCATTTGCTGAAGCGGATCATTTTGAGGAGTTGACATCTCGGAGATATTTCAACTGCCAATTAAGAATAATTCTTACAATAGTATATCCGAATAAATGTTGTATAATCTTAAATCAGAGCTAGCGGTTTCACTAATCATCAACCGTAAGGTCGGTCATAAACAGTAAAAATTATTCTGATAAATAAGCAATCAAGAAAGTAACAAACTTTTAATGTCCTTCTGACGTCTATGCTTAAAAAATTGAGCAGTCCTAGTGCCCCACCGTTTTGCACCTAACATACAAATTCCACAAATTCAACTTTCCTAAATAAAGAATCCTCTTAAGACCCCACCTTCAATTCTCATACCCACAATTAACAGTTCAAATTTTAAGCTATAATCAACTCTATAGTCTAATCATCTGTAGAATTCTTAAGTCCTAGGATACAAATATTTTCTTTTTTAAATTTTATGACAGTAGTGTCTATGCCAGTTTGCAAGCACTTCGGCTACTCCACTGGGTAACTTCTAACTTAAACCAACAGAGGTACCTGGTAACTCTGCTCCAAAGCTTAGGCGGATGGAAAGAAATCACCTAGTATTTTTTCTCCGTAGGGGATTTGAAACCGAGACTTCATGGTTCACCTTCCACTTTGTTGGCTGCTAGGCCACGCCCTTGGGTGCTGCTAGGATATCAAATTTCTATTTTCTAACTTATTACACCTTAATTAAGTGCTCACTTGCACAAACTTGGATTAGATTAAAAGGGGTATTATAAGTGATTTCAAATGCTTAGATTTGAGATTGTCAAAATTTCAAACTAGCCGTTCGGATAATCAGAAGATATTTCAAAAGACTTGAAATTTACGAATTTCATCCCAAGTACCGAAAGCTCGTTAAAAATAATAGCATTACAATTTTTATCCTTTTCTTAATTGAAAATGCATATTAGCAACACATTTAACAAATAAAAAGTGCGTATAAACTGCTGCTCAATCGAAAATGATTGAATAACAAAACTCAGAAAGAGGATAACTTACGACTGTATATTTGGGCGGAGAAAGAGAAATTCCGAGGAGTTAGCACTACAGCAGCGAGAGATGGAAAGGAGAGAAGAGAGGTCAGCTTGTCCCAGCAAATAATTTGAAATTTGAAATATGGGGGTTTCCTGATTTGGCGTCCATTATATTAAAAGTGAAATAAATAACAAAGGATATTGTGGATCTGGGCTTGTGTCAGAAATCCACAAGTCCAAAATGCTTCCCATGCTATAGTCCTTGGAGCTGGGCCGACCCGAGCCCAATTGAATTTTTACACTACTGAGCTGACTTAGAGGGTGTTTGGCTAAGCTTAAACCAACTTATAAGCATTTTTCAGTTTATTTACGCATTTGGTAAAGTTAAAAATGTTTATAAGTCAAGTGCTTATACGTCAAAAATAAGTCAAAAGTCATAAGCTGGTCCGCCCCAGCTTATAAGCACTTTAAGTTTGACCAAAATTTTTACTATTTTATCCCTAAAATATTCCTTTTTAGAACAAAACTTCTACATCGATACTCACTGCCTCCTTATTTTTTCAACCGAAACCCCCCGCCTCTTCAAGTCTGCAATTTTCATTCACTATTTGAGGTAAGCAAATTCTCTATTCCTTTGCATATTTGTATCTATGTGATTTTGTATAATCTTTGAACTGTATGTAATAAACGAGGACATATCAAATTTTTGTGTATTGTTTTTTAAGTGTCGTGGTGATGAAGACAGTATTTGTTTCTCTTTAAATATTTTGTCCTATTTAGGTTTATTTTTTTTACTGAAAAACTTTTGCCAATTTATTAATTATTATAACTTATGATTATATTCTTATCATAAAATAAATTATATTTATCACAAAAATTATCTTATTTAATCACGGTTGTATTTAAAATAAAATGACAAATAAAATATTTTGTATTTGAATCGCTCTGGAATCTAAAATTTTGAAGAAATTACGCTCTTACAAGCGTAAACAGTTCTAAGGTTATTTAAATCGTTTTAACAGAAAAAAGAGTTTATCAACACTTTTTATCAAATACTGCAGCAGCGTACTATCAATTTCAGCACTTAAAAGTATTTTTCAGCACCTAATGCTTATCAGCTAATTCAAACGGGCTCTTAGCTTATACAGTCAAACCTCTCTTTAACAGCTATACCTATAAAAACATTTGACATTTAGATCTTATTTAACTGTTATAAATAAAAAATAATTTAAAGCTCAAATTTTTCAAAATTTTTATATTATAAGAGATAATAATGATGATGGATATTGCTGTAAAAAGTAAAAAAAATTGTTTGTTATTAACATAAAAATGTTTTCAAAGAAACTTGCTTGTTATTTTAAAAAATTGTTATAGAGATTGGTTGTTATACAGAAATCTGACTATATGACCCAAGTTGCAATCAAACCGAGCCTTAGCCATTTTTTTTTGGTTCAAAAGTGAAACTAGCTCAAACTGAAAATTAGGAAATAAAAGTAAAAATATCAAGATTTATATGCTAAAGATAGAGTTATATTATGGAATTTTTACCTCCTATAGCAAATGTTGATACCTTATTTATTTTAAATAAATACTCTTTTAAAAAATTATATTCCATAGATACATTTTGATTTTTATAGCCAAATATCTATTTATGGTTACCTCCTACCCTTAAGCCATAAAATACTCTTTGTATTATTTTTCTCTCTCATTCTTTCAGATTTTTAAAAATCCTCTCTCTCTCTCTCAATGATTCTGTTTCTCCATCATAATTTACACACTCTTCTGACTCTGTGTAGAGAGAGAAAATAATTGAAGAGAGAGACAATTTAAGAGACGAAGGATTTAAATTTATTTTGTGGTCGATCTATGCAAACGAAGCAAGAATCGTCAATCAAATTGAGACGAGTTGTTGAGTTGAATGAAATCTGGACATGGCCATTGCAACTCTTACCTCTCACCACCTCCATTGCTGCTTTTCTTCATCTACCAAATTCGCAATTACTAACAAAAGATGACAATTTGCTATTGAAAATAAGGAATTCCTTTCATTTTTGCACCAAATTTTGAGAGTTTCGAGTCAGAATCGCGGCCCTCTTGACGAGACGGCATTAGGGTTGTTCTTGAACAAAGACGACGGAGTTAGGGGTTGAGCAACTTGAAGAGTCTATTACCTTTTTTTTCCATTGTATTTCAATGTATCTCGCTGTATTCTATGTATTTCATTGTATTCATTGTCTTCTTTTTTTCATTGTATTTCAATGAATCCCGATGTATTCCATGTATTTCATTATATCATTGTCTCGCTATATTTCATGAATGTATTCATATATATTTTTTAATTAATATAATTTATGTATTTAGATGTATATATGTATTCAAATATTTTTGGGGGATTTTTCGGTTGAGAATCTTTTTTATAAATGGAAATACAAAATTTGCGTGTTATAATTGAGTTTTTTTGAGTGATATTAGGAGTCTATTATGTTAATTGATTCACTTTCCGCTTAAAAACAGTATAATCCCCTATTTCACGCCGTGAATACAGTTGAATACAATAATTTGTCCAGCTGTAATCCCATGTTTCACGCCATGAATACAGTCGAATACACTCGAATATAAAAATCTGTCTAGCTGTAATCCCCTGTTTCACGCCTAGAAATGCTACTATATTCATGAATACAGTAGCTTAAATATATCGAATACACTCTAAAAAATCTGAAAGCATAGCTATAGTAAGTAATATAATAAATGGTAGCTACAACTAGTTAATAACCACTAAAACATAGTGGTTTCTGAAAATTTCTCTATTATATATTTAAAACTATTTTTATTCCATATTTTATTATTTCCTACATCCTTTGAGAACTTTAATATATTGCAATCGAGTTTTTGGTTGGGACGTCCTTTTTAAAATTAAAAAAGAAACTGAGTTGGGACGTGTTGACAAAATTAAATAATATACCCCTTTAATATATAAAAGATCGCAAAGCTTATATATAAGTCAACTCTTATTAATTTGCTTAACTTTGATCGATTGTCAAAATTGGATGAGGTATAGTGCATATAAATTCCATCTCACTTAAAGTGGTTTAATTCGTTTTTAGTTGCCAATTTAAGTAATTTGAAAAGTGATAATTGTCCTCGGTCCTTCAAAGTTTCATCCGAAAATAGTAGGGGCTTACTAAATTAGAAAGGATTACTATCAAACACCTAACGTTTTGTTCTTAGAAAACAAAATATGTTACAAATAAATTGATAGTCAAATTTCATTATTTGAGCAAACCAGATCAACAGATTGATATTTCAGATCAACTTTTGCTGTGGTTGACCTGAATTAATGTTGACTTATTGTGCCAAATACAAAGAAATTTCTTCTTTCATATAAACTTCATATTATGTCCTTTTATTACAATATATTTGTAGGCAAATTCAAGAAGCTTCCACCAAGTCTCAAAACATATCGCGGACCTACTCGAGGCCTCAAATCACACATAACAACAACGAAACGACGGATCGCACCCCAAATCAAACTTGATGAGTTTTGAACTCTTCAACTTCCATAACTCGTGCCGAAACATAGCAAACCAACCTGGAATGAACCCAAATTTTGCACACAAGCCCCAAGTGACATAACGAAGCTATTTCAATTTCCGGAACCACAATCCAAATCCGATATAAAAAAGTCCACTCCCCGGTCAAACTTTCCAAAAATTCAACTTTCGCCAGTTCAAGCGAAATTCAACTACGGACCTCCAAATCACAATTCGGACACGCTCCCAAGTCCAAAATCAACCAACGGATCTAACGGAATAATCAAAACTCCAATCCGAGGTCAAATACTAAAAAGTCAACCTTGGTCAATTCTTCCAATTTAAAGCTTCCTAGTTGAGATTCATTCTTCCAAATCAATTCCGAATCACCTGAAAATCAAAACCGACGATTCACATAAGTCATAATACATCATACAGAGCTACTCATACCCTCAAACCACCGAGCGGAGTGTAAATGCTCAAAACTACTGATCGGGTCGTTACAAGAGCTCAAGTCCAAACATATGGATTTATTTTCAAGAAGCACAAAAGTCCAAGAAGCTCAAGATTGATTCAAGAATCCAAGATTCTTTCCTTCTTAAAATAGGATTATTTTATTCCTTTTAGAATAAGGATTTTGCTTTTAATAGGATTCTAGTTTCTTTTCCTTGTAGAATAGGAATTTTACTTTCCTTGTCTTTAGTTATTTTATTTTCTTATTAGAATAGAAATTGTAGTCATCAAAGAAGAGACCGTAGGCCTATATAAAGGGTTTTCATGCCTTGTTGAGGGGAGATTCACGTTTTTTAAGGTTGACTCTAATTTGCAGTAGAGTATTTTTCTCTATTTTGTCTTTTTTATCCTTGTTTTTTGTTCCAAGCAAGGTAGTGGTAGTCTTTATCTTGTTTTCAGTTGCGTGTGATGTTTCTTTATCACATTAATTGATTCTAAGTGGTGACTTTAGAAACTTTTTAGTTCATGATCATTCAAAAACACGTTTCTTGATTTAAATTCGTTCTTTTGATATCTTAGAATTATAACTTTCATTGAATTGATGCAGTATCAATATTTACTTGTTTTGAACGAATAAATAGTTTTTCTTATTCTTCAGATCGTCATTTTTCACCTCGTTTTTGGATCATTACATTCCGAGTCCTAAAACTTGAGATAGGTAATTTCTTAAAATCCGCCCATAAATCATATTTTCGTTTCGAAATCTTGATCCTGATCGGTTGGTTCTCTGTTAACTCGAATCACAACAACTTAGATCCAGGCTCCAGCAGGCACATTTGTGGGCAAGTGTCTCTTTGCCTTGTCATCATTAAGAAAACGACTAAATCACTGGTATTCCTTTTATTGGTATTATAATAGTAAGCTTAAAAATGACCAAATCTCAATAACGTGTAATGATTCAAGATTTAAACCTCGTGAGTTTTTTATGGAGAGAATTTATACGTAACGTGCTTTCTCAATAAGTTCCCATACTATTTCCACATGAAACGAAAGTCAGCTCATATAATTTTGTATGTTACGCTACGAACTGTGTCTTCTATTCATTGATAGTTGTGTACCAAAAGGTAAAGAAGTAGAAAAATAAACCTCCTCCATATTCCTTCCTT